TTTTCATCTAGTTATTTACTTGTTTATTTGTTTATTAATCTGCTCATTCGTTACTGCTTGAAAGGGTTATTTCACAGACAAAGATCATAAAAATATCAAAACCAAATTTTTTCCCCACGGCAACCCTTTTGAAAGTACATTGGAGAAATAGCGACGTCGACAAGTTTACCTGTTTGGAGGATTGTCGCAATCGTCCTCAAAATTTACTGCATTTTATGCTGTATCAAGTGACCCTGCATAGAATTTGAATATTTAAAATGTGTAAACGCGAAATAATTGATCGCTCAAATAAAGCCAAACTAAATCATAGGCGGCCAAAACATCTGTAGAAAGGGGATGCTTTCTGTTTTGAAGGGATTCTTAAGGGGAAATTGAAATTACAAGAGTTTATTTTGCCTACTTATTCCCAGGTTTGGCAGCTTTGAATTTTTTCTATTTCTTTTTCTGTTTTTTTCTCGCTTGTGTCTGTCATGATTGGTTTTCCTTTGCTGTTAGACTCGTATTTATAGATTTATTAGAAGAACAAAGTATTGTATCATTTTTGAGGAGGGCGCAGTAGAACAGCTAAATGGCGTAAATGTAATACTCTTATCTCAAATAAATTTAAAGAATGATAGAAATATTATCGTAATTCCCACGGAACAAAACTCACATTCTATCTAAAACGCGCAGGAGGATCTGCGACTGCAGTACAGTAAGTTTCCGCAGACGAAAATGGGAAAGAAATAATCACAAAGGTTATTAATGTAACAAGGCTTACCTGAACTAGCGATCTCACGTTGAGTTCTGGAGAATATTCTGCTTTTGTGTTTTATTTGTATAGTAGTGATTTTATTAATTGGTTAGTAAACGACGGGGAAGAAGATAAAAAATGCCAAGGGTCGGTTTTAAGAAAAAATAGAGAAAAATGATTGCGTAGACCACCTTATGGCCTTAAAAGGCTTGTAACACAGGTCAGAAGGTAATTTTGAGAAAAGTGATGAGCTGTTGCTGAGTCTGAAGGAAGAATTGTGCAGAAAGTGGCAAAAGTAGATAATGAAAGGGAGAGTCAGATACGAACGCTAATTTGTCAAAAGCGAGTGTTCTGGAAGGAGAAACAGAATTATATGGAAATTTGGCAGTTGGGAGTGAGGACAGCTTCTTAGAAATCCCGGAAGAGAGTCGTGAATTATTAGATCAGATATAGCTGCATATCAAGAATAAGTCAAAACTGGGTGTTGAAACAGGAGCCATCCCTTTCCATTGCCGAATGGAAATCCTATAACTTGGAGCACTTTCTGAGATAATTTTGAGTCCGTCATTGAAAGAAAAAAAGGCGAATTTGAAATTTGAATAAATTTCAGCATCGATTAGTATGAGAAAATGAATGGACAGTATAGGAGCTGGTGAGTCTGGAAGATAATAGAGATTAAATAAGACTAATGGCGAGGCTATAAAAGGAATTCTCCGCTATGGATATCAGTTTATCTGTGAAAAGCAAAGATTAAGGAAAGTACTGAGTGGGACATTAAGACAGTGTTGGGCATACTCTACCTAACTGGTTAAGGAAGAAGGAACAGCAGACAGCAGAAAGAAGCTAAAGTCTAAAGAAAACCCGCTAACAGTTTAGTCTGAACAACAGGTCAGAATATGGTGTATATCAAATAGTAGCTTAGGAAATTAGGATTTCCGTCTTTTTTTATATAGTCCCTCATTGTCAGTAGTGGGTGCACTAGGTATAAAGTTTTGAAGGAAAGAAAACATCAGACATGTAAAATAGAACTTCGTTCGAGGTATTTGAAAATAAACATGAAGTTTGAAGATTGCACTGTTACAAAAAAAAAATACGTTTGCTGCCGGAAGGAGCATAAAAGCATGCTCTGTGGAAGATTTTGAAGTTGGTTTTTAGTGAATTAACCTTTTAAACAAACATTAAAAAATTTGCAGTACGACGAATAATGTGAGAATAATGTTAATTTGCTTGTAGTCTAAGCCGTGGCAAGTGATTCAACAGAGGACAGTTGAAGGAGTGACTTCTGTGCGTTACTTGGCAGTGGTAGCTAACATTCTTCCATTACTGGAAGATTGGCTAAACGGCTAAGCCTTTCCGTTGCAGACGAGTGAGTCTTAAGGTTTCCACATGTTTACTGCTAAAACTCTTGTTGAGTATTAGTTTTTAAAGCCTAAAGTAGCTGCGTATTTATGAAATGGAGAAGAAGTGCTGTCATTGCGATTGGTAAATTGAGTGCTACTTTAGGTGCGGAAGTCACGGAAATTTTAAATGCAGTTCTATCACGTTATTCTGCTACTTCGGAAATAATCGATTTCACTGATTTTGATCTAAAAAAGGCTGATGAAAGAC